ATGTGTGTGTGTGTGTGTGTGTGTGTGTGTTATTTATAAATAGTTTATGAATTTACATTAACTATGAAAAATATAAGGATCATAATGTAAAATATAAATAATTGTGAAGTTAAATTTGAAGTTTTGTTTTGGGGGAAGAACACCTTGAAACTTCAAATACAGAGTTTTGGAAATTTCAAAATAGAGAGTCTTTTTGAGATGCTTTTAGTAGATAAATCGACTGAACTGTTATCTACGTAGTTTCTTTTTTGTCAAATAAAGTAAATAGAATATAGTGCTTTAGGAAAAAAAAAAGTAAATATATATATATATATATCCACATTATCTAATACTTCTACTGATAGTAGTTCTTTAACAAAAAAAAATTGCTGTCCGACATAAATAGTTGATATATTAAAGGTATTTTGACATCAAATTGATATTTTTAAACATCCAAGATAAGTAGTTGATATATTAATATATTTACTAACACTAACCATTACATCATCTCCCTCTATTTCATTATAAGTGTCACTTTAGCTTTGTGTACATAAATTAAGAAAACATTTAATTTTTCATATTTTCCATATAAAAACACGATTATCCATACATATAATCATATTTCAACCAATAAAAAAATAAATTGCACAATAAAGTTGGTAAATTTTGCATTAAAAACCGAAAACGACATTTATTTTGTAACAAATTTTCTTTTCTATAAGGACACTAAATATGAAATGGGGGGGAGTATGTAATTCTGATTGATTAGCTGAAAACTAACTATTTGTAGATCCAACTATCCTATCACATTCACCTAAAAGTTGTTGCAGTCGTATATTACAAAATCACATAAGTATTTGTAAGACTAAATAACAACGAAGCATATATATTTTTTCTGTTTCAATTTAATTCTCGCTGTAGATTAAAATTTTCGTTTTAAATAAGTGTCATTTTATAATTTTAATGCACAATTTATTCATTTTATTTACTATTATATTTTATATTGATTGAAATGTAGTTATATGTATAAGTAATTGTGCTTTTATCAACAAAAAATATATAAATTAAACATTTTTTTAATATGTGTGCAAAACCCAAAAACGACAAATAAATTGAAATGAATAGAGTATTTGAATTTGGTTTGTGCTTTAAATGGTCTTGTAATTATAACATTAGTTTCATCGTCATGTGGCTCTCTGACTCATTTATATCAAACAAAAATTATTTTTTGTTGGATCAGTGATGCTCGTTTGACCTCATTATACGAAGAACCGTAATCTTCTTATTTATTTAGACGTTTTTCTACTTCTTCTTACTTTTTATTTTTTTGGAATAGGGCTATTTCAAAATTTTCCCTTTTGTTCTTTCTACTTTTCAAAGCATAATAATCTCTAAAGAAACAATTATTATTATTTGGAGAAATGGCTATTTCAAAACTTCTGTTATTTCTACTTTTAATATAAAACTAGATTTTGATCCGTACAATCGTGTGTGTTTTATTTTCTATTTTTATGCAAATAAATTTATTTTTGATAATTAGTATTATATATTTTTAATTTTAATTATATAATTAAAAATTTATATAACTATTTCAAATAAAATAATTTATAGTTTATATGTTATATGTTATACATAATCAGTTGTTTAAAATCATTATATATATATATTTGGTACTTCTTATTATATATTTATCTTATTGTATTAATTTGCATTTAGTTATTAAACAAATTAATATGTTCATGAAAAAACATATTTGAAAAGTATTTTCTATTTAAGATATGTTAAATTTTTACCTGCCCTTCAAAAGTGAATTTCCTTTTAGTAATATTTTATGTTTATCCATTTTGCATTATATATTATTGTATATACAAAAATTTAAGATATTTTAATGTTTATACATGTATTGTAGTCTGTCAGCATATTATATTTTTAATATAAATATTTGATATTTGTGAAAATAAACTTATAACTGTATCACACTAATATAGATTTATAATATGTACTTCAGTATAATTTTTATTTTAACATGATTGATTTTATGATTATAAAATAGATAAAAGTAGGATAAATTTTCATTTTTTTAATTTATAAACAACAATTCTATATTTATATATATATATATATATATTAATGGATAATAATAGTCCATTTCTAATTACAAAATAGTGAATTTATTTACATACACTTTTTGAAAATTAAAATATGTTAAAATATTTAGATCAAGATAATAAGTTTCTTTTAATATGATTGATTTTGATTATATAATAAATATAAATATGATAGTATATTTATTTTTCATTTTAAAAATGATAAGTAAATATATTAATGTATAATAATATTTCAAAACTAATCACGAAATTATTGCAAATATTTATATATAATTTTTGAAAATTAAGATCTTGTTGAAATCTTCTTAAACAGATTTTTGGAATTTGAATATATATATATATATATATTAAATGAAAAGATATCAAAAGATATATATATTTAATATAAAGATTAAGAGTGATGTAACTTAAAAATCACATACAAAATGAAGTTGTGAGTCATATTTTAACAGAATAGAATATTCTAACAATTTCTCCTCAAACATTTACACAGTCGTTTAATTACCGATCAACCACCAAACTACAAATATTTAGAGAGACTTCCGTTTTGTAGGGGACCGATTTTTTTGGTCTGAAGTCTCTCTTTTCTAGATGTCAGAAAAGAAAATTAATCTAAAATATGGTCCTTCCGCAGGGTTTTATCAACTTATTTATTTTAGATAATTGCATAAGATATCACACAATCAGTATACTGTATGGAAAGTCAACGTAGAAAATACCCAGGTAAGAAAACTTAGATAATTAGCAGATTTCAAAGATGTGTGCAAAAATTAAGATTGTCTGTTCATATCGGGAAACTCCTCGAGGCCAAACATTAATTTCTTGTCCTTCTTTGTGTTTCCCAATTTTAGTAAAGACTGTTCTTATATTTTCTTCATCCTTGGTTTTGCTATTTGTCTTTTCTCAAGAAAAGAAATCTATATTTTGTGACTACAATTGAGATTCGTCCCACGCATTTTGAATTTTGGTTATGTTAGGTTAATTTGGTTAATTTGATTTTTCTGTTATAATGATATAAGAAATTTGGTTTGGTTCGGATAATAAAGTTGAAAGCAATCCAGTTGGATTTCAATTCAGTTATGATTTTTTAAAATAATTAGAAAATTTAAAATATTTTAAATATAAATAACATTCAGACCATTTGTTTTTTTTTTTGGATAACTTAATTATAAATATTATTATTTAATTATAAAGAGTATTTTAAAATACTTGGTCATTACAAACCAAATATAATTAATATTTTAGATATTAATATTATGAAATGATAGTTATCGCTTTGGTTCTAATTCAATTTCAGTTTTCTAGTTTAAAGACATAGAATCCATACAGATATTAATTACATCCGGTACAGTTTTGATCTTATTTTTTGGTTCTGTACTGTTCTTCAGTTTCGGATAAATGTACTAAGGATATTATTATCGGTGGTCCCTTAGCGTTGTCATTTATCGAAAAAATTCTTTAGTTTTTAATTAAAAACGCTAAGGGACATCCGTAAAATCTCTTAAATAAAGGGCTTTAAGGATGTCCCTTAGCATTTTTAGTTAAAAGTTAATGATTTTTTTTTGCAAAGGGACCACCAGTAATGTTGTTATAAGGTAGTGAGACTAATAGTAATTAACATTTGATTTGACAACCAAAAAGGTATTACATTGCCTATTGTCTTGTTTGGTTATGGCTTGACAGAGGTCTTTCTCGTTTGGAAAGCAAACTATATAGGGGGAGTATTTACAAACTATTTGGATTTTGTTTTTGCTAAAAAAACTATATATGCACTAATTAAAAAGGAGAGAAAATATGATGACAAAAGAAGGAGAGGAAATAGACAATGTCTTTCTTATCCGAACAAAAAAATAGGATTACTGATTGGAATTCTTTAAAGTATCCGTTTATTAAATTTAAAATTTTTGAGTTAACTGTTCATTCATCAACTGATAAACAAACTGCTCATTTTAATGAATGTTTTTCCTTAAGTAAATGTAAAAATAGCAAATCTTAGTATATGAGATATAGGAAAATCAAAATTTTGTAAGTTTTTCGTATCATATGTTAAAAAAAATAGATAGTTAAATGAAGAATTATTTATTAATTAGAATGTTCTATACTCAAAAATTGATCAATATATTCATATTTTAACGTTTTAGTTTTCTAATAAATGCTTTCTAACTAATTATTGATTAATATATATTTCATATAAAATAAATAACAAGTTATATTTAAAATTCTTTTTCACAATAATTTATGTGTTCCAATTTTTTAATAGTCAACTTCATGTTAAAGATGAGGAACTTTATATCTCAATCGACCATGTCATGTAACTTGATTTAAATGTAATAATAATTCACAAAAGTTGATACATTAATTTGAATACAATTAGTTGAAATAATGATTTAAAATAAACCCAATCTGAAATCAAGTAATCTGTGTTCTTTGAGACATCATCTACTTTAGTTTCAGCCGAAAAAACATAGCAGTATACAACAACCATTGTCCTTAAGTACTAATTACAAGTTACAACCCTTAGAAATATTACTATGTACTTTTAATTAAATTTCTATAATAAGATATTTTTTTCCAAAAAAGAGAAACAATCAAAAGGTCTCTTTTTTTTGTTGGACAAACATCAAAAGGTCTCTTTTCCCTCTACTTTTGTTTCTTTTCGTTGATTGTCTCGTAAATAATTAAAATACTAATATCTACTTTCATTTGTCATTAATTTCAGTTTTATTAGTCACAATGAAGATATCGTCATATCGATTAAAAAGATAGATTCGTACAGTTATTATAGCCTCACAAGTTCAAACAACAACTAAACTAATATTTACAACGATGCTATTAAAAGAAAATAAAGTGAACAAAAGGAAAATGAAGTGAGCACAAACACAAAAGCTTCTGTGTTTATTTATCTATTGCCGGCGGAAACCGAAACCACTTCATGTAAATGACAAACTCAGAAACCTTTAAATCAATTTTTTTTCATCTTTGATATACTTCAAAAAAATAATGTAAAGAGTTTCAGTTTTTTTTCTTATTTTTGGTTATAAATAAACAAAACTATCATATTTTGTCCAACTCAGGACAAAACAAATCTGATATTTTTGTTTGCTTTCTCCCTCTTGCGTGTCATATTTTGTTTCATGATGTTGTAGGGATGAAGAAACAATGGTTACAGGACAACACAGAAAATCTGTCCCAGAGAATCTGAAGAAACAGCTCGCAGTTTCAGTTCGAAGTATTCAATGGAGTTATGCGATCTTTTGGTCTGTCTCTGCTTCCCAGCCTGGGTCAGTTTCATAACCATAGTCCTTGAAAATGCTCAGTTTGTTAGGTTTTAACTATGTGTTTTTATGGCTTAAGTTGTTTATCTGAAGCTTGAAATTCTTTTGGTTCTATCTTGAAGATTACCAAAAACTTAAGGTTTCAAATTTATAAAAAATATTACTGATTTAAGCTGAAAAATCAGATTAAGAAAACTTCATGGGATTTACTTACAAAAATTTTCTTCTTGGTTTTCGTCTAAGGTTCATCAAGGATGTTCTCAACTTATGAATCTGTTCTCTAGTTCTTAGAGATTATTAAAAAAATATGAGTAAAAATAAGAGACGTTATTAGTTTCTAATGTTTTCTTCTTCTTCTTGAAGTTCTTTATTATCTCAAATAAAATGTTCCAATTGTTTTTCCCTGATCCGATCAAATTTTGTGTTGTGTGTTTGTTTAAACCAAAGAGTATTAGAATGGGGAGATGGATATTATAATGGAGACATCAAAACGAGGAAGACGGTTCAAGCTTCAGAGATCAAAGCTGATCAGCTTGGTTTACGGAGGAGCGAGCAGCTTAGAGAGCTTTACGAGTCTCTCTCCGTCGCTGAATCTTCTTCCTCAGGAACCCTCGCGGGATCTCAGATCACTAGAAGAGCTTCCGCCGCCACACTCTCGCCGGAAGATCTCGCCGACACCGAGTGGTTTTACTTGGTTTGTATGTCATTCGTCTTCAAAATCGGTGAAGGGTAATTCTGTCTTTCCCCCAAACAGCATTGACATTTATTATGCGGTGCGTCATGTCCAGTTCAGATTGATCTTTTTGCCAGTTTTATATAAAAAGACAAAATACGCTTTTATTACATGTAGGGTCTGGACATTAGATTATGTTACGTAGCTTCGGGAAGATGTGGTCTGAAAATAGAATACGAGTTCGATTTTAGTTTTGTTTAGTTAACTTGAAATTATGGTTCCAATTCGGTTTCATTTAATAAAACTTATACCTATAATTAATAATGAAGATTTTGTGATAAAAATATTTTTACGTAAAAAAATGTGAAAACACACAGAGAACATTTCGTCTTTTCACGTTAAATTAATCTTTTTTTTTTCGCAGAATGCCTGGACGAACATTTACAAACGGTGAACCGATATGGTTAGGCAATGCTGGTGCTGCTGATAACAAAGTCTTCAGCCGCTCTCTCCTGGCAAAAGTAAGTAGTAATATTGTAGTGGCTACAGAACTCCTGCGTTTGCGGATGAAAACGCTAAAGTCAATCGTGTTTTTCTGCGTTTAGAGTGCTTCTGTTAATACAGTGGTTTGCTTCCCGTTTCTTGGAGGAGTCGTTGAGATTGGAACCACAGAACACGTACGTAAGCCATATTCTATGTTTTTTTTAAGCTTATTTCTTTTTTTTTGCTTCAAAATTTTCAGAATAAATAAATGCAAAAAGTGTAAGAATTTGTGTGTGACTTTTCATCTCATAGATTGTAGAGGACATGAACGTAATACATTGTGTGAAGAAAACATTCCTCGAAGCTCCTGATCCATACGCTACAATATCACAACCAAGATCTGATTATCACATAGACAATGTTCTCGATCCGCAACATATCCTAGGCGGCGACCAGATCTATGCTCCTATGTTCGGTACTAAGCCTTTTCAGGCAACTTCTCCGAGTAGAAACACCAACGGTTTCGATCCTGAACTCGAACAAGTAGCAGAAGATCATGATTCGTTCATGGCCGAAGGAATCAACTCGCAAGTACAAAGTTGGCAGCTCATGGACGACGAGCTCAGTAACTGCGTTCACCAATCGCTGAATTCCAGCGATTGCGTCTCTCAAACGTTTGCTGAAGCAGCGGCGGGACGGGTTTCTTGGAACGCAAGAAATGGTAAGGCTCAAAGGTCAGGGCATTATCGAGAGCAACAGAGAAATGTGAAGATGTTATCTTTTGACCCAAGAAACGATGATGTTCATTACCAAAGTGTGATCTCCACGATTTTTAAGACCAGCCACCAGCTAATCCTCGGACCACAGTTTCGTAATTGCGATAAGCGGTCAAGCTTCACGAGGTGGAAGAAACCATCATCATCATCATCTGGAACCGCATTAGTTGTACCACCATCACAAGAAATGTTGAAGAAGATTATTTTCGAGGTTCCACGAGTGCACCAGAAAGAGAGGTTGTTGTTGGATTCACCGGGGGCTGGGGATGAAACGGAGAACCATGCGGTTTTAGAGAAGAAACGTCGGGAGAAACTGAACGAACGGTTCTTGATCTTGAGATCAATCATTCCTTCAATAAATAAGGTATATATATAACTTTAAAATCGCAAATCCATATTTATATAACGAAGTTTAACTTATTTTTGGTTTTGACATTTCAAAGAGCGATAAAGTATCAATTCTTGATGATACGATTGAGTATCTTCAAGAGCTCGAGAAACGGGTTAAGGAACTAGAATCATGCAGAGAACCAACCGATGCAGAAGCTCGTGAACCAATGACAATGAAGAGGAAGAAGCCTTACGATGCAGGTGAAAGAACATCAGCTAATTGCCCAAACAATGAAATTGGCTACGGGAAAAGAACCCATGTCGAAGAAGCCGAACCAGCAGAAACCGGTTTAACCGATAATTTAAGGATCAGTTCGTTTGGAAACGAGGTGGTTATTGAGCTGAGATGTTCTTGGAGAGATGGAGTTTTGCTTGAGATAATGGATGTGATGAGTAATCTCAACTTGGATTCTCATTCGGTACAATCCTCGACCGGAGACGGTTTACTTTGCTTAACCGTCAGTTGCAAGGTACAATTTCTAACCTTCTTACTTAAACCAGGATTTTGCTAACATGGACTAACATATTGTCAAATGTTGGTTTCAGCACAAGGGTTCAAAAATAGCAACACCAAGAATGATCGAAGAGGCACTTCAAAAAGTTGCATGGATATGTTGAAGACGTTTTTAGCTTAAAGTATTAGCAAGATATTCTCCCGCTTAGGTTTTGTAATCTTTGGCATTTTCTAATTTTAGGAATTCATGTTGAAGACGTTTTTAGCTTAAATTGTACTTCTTTTTCTTCTGTGTGTGGTTAACGTAGGTGAAGAACTAAAATGCGAACTTGAAATTTTCTTCGAAGGTAGATTGCTTTAAGAAGATTTTTTGCTCTAAAAAGAGCATGAGTAACATGATGAAAATCATCTTGTGACTCTCTATTGGCTCACACCAATAAACGTGAAAAAATGGAATTAACTGTAGAAAATGAAATTAATATTAAAACTCTTCATTTGGGAAATTAAAAAAAATGATCTTACAAGTTATGACCAAACTCCAAAATCATTGACTAGTCCAGCACGGCAAAGCACAGCACATCATATTAAAAATCCATTTCTTATGGAAATATATATTCTCTAAGACAAAAACATAATTTCTTTCCTTTTCAGCTGCGAAACCGAAAACATAAATTCAAAGACGTATTATATCTATATATACACAATGACAAGTGAAAGATGATATATAAGAGAGAAGGGTGAAGATGGTTAGGACTTTGCCCTGAAACATTCTTCTCTCCGGTAAGAAAGAAAAAAAATCATTTTACTTTGTTTATATACCTCTTAACATCATATTACTTACAATAATGATTAATTACAATATTTTGATTTCAAATTGAGTGAGATAATCTGAGATTAGGAATCGATTTTCTGCTAAATGCATTCTCTCTTTAATTGTTTTGCTTTGAATCTTGTTTTCGTAGAGTTCTCTATCACGCTATGTATATATGATCCTCTTGGATACACTACAACAAGCTGGTGTTGTTTTTTTTGTCTTCCAGTTGAAATTTGTAAGATTTGAGTGAAAAAAAGAGACAAGAGTGAACTTTTCAAGAATGGGAGATGAGCCAAGGTTTAGTGAGAAATGGGATTTCAGAAGGCAAGAGAACAACTTTGATGACTCTTCAAGCGACGATCCAGATTCATACCCAAATCCTGTTCTTGACTCGAATCATCTCGACAATGGAACAAAAACAGTGACTGGTGGACAACCTGTGAAAAGCCGGAAGAGGAGGAGCAAGAACGATGAGAGTAAACCTGAGAAAGCTAAGCACATAAGGAGAAGGAAACCAAACATTAATGTTTGTGCAGAGGAGAAAAAGAAGAAAGAGGAAACCGTGATGGAGACGGATGATGTTGGAATCTTTATGAAGACGTTGCTTGATGATCTAACAGCTTCTAGAGAGAGTTTAATGGGTTGGATGAACACTGAATTGAATGGATCATCGGATCAAAGTGTTGTGTCTCGACCACCTCCAAAGAAGAGAGCGGTTGCTGCGGGATCAGTGAAGAAGAGAAGGCGAAAGAAAAAGGGAGAAGAGGAGGAGGGTGAAAAACAGAGGAAACGGGACATGAACAAACCTAAAGAAAAGAGTTCAGAGGTTGTGCAGAACGGTGGAGATCAAGTTCAACAGCTTGATTATAATGCTGGACCGTTGGATATGTTTGAGAGAAACTACCGTAAGCAAGAAGAACAAGGCCAACAAGGTATTGTTGCGCAAACTGAGATCGAGAATGCGACAGCGATGAATAAGAAGAGCGTTGTTTTGGCCATTGAAGCTCCAAAGGTAAGGCAGAGACAAAAGAAGACGAGAGGAGCCAAGACCATCAAAAACATATCCGAAACAAAGAAAGATGATCACTTTGCGATACCTTATGTGCCACAGCTATCTTCATCGCCAACGTTGCAGAGCTTTCCGGTAGGTTCTTCGTTGTGTCCTTCGTCAAGCCAAGGGGTTACTTCTTTAGCAAGTAACAACAACTACCAACCGATGCAACCACCAGTAGTACCTCAGTTCTCTGATCTTTATGAATTTCAGACAGGATTCACAAGAGGACAAGGATATGAGAAGAGTTCTCTGTTTCAGAACAATGGTTACTTTTCTTGTTTTCCGGCAGCTTCCCAACCTAATCTGATGGCACAAGTGAATCATACGACTTATTCACAGCAGAGAGACAACAATAATATGTTCGGAGGACTGCAAATGAATCCTACGACTTATTCACAGCAGAGAGATAACAATAATATGTTTGGAGAACTGCAAATGGCCGGTGCAGCCATACCATATTCCGATAGCAGATTTCATGAATCCGAAGTGGATAAAGGTAATAACCGCCTCTCAAACTACAGAACTGGCTCAGGTAGATAAACATCTGTTACAGAGACGAGAGTAACAATTATCTACGGGTGGAGATGGAACTCAGTGACTGACTTGTGTTAAAAGACGCAACAAAAATGGGGATTTGAAGTGTAAACTGTTGTTTTGTTTTCTTGGAAATGGCAAACAAGAAAATAAATCATTTCTTTTGTCTCCTCTTTCCTCTCACTATCAAAAAGCTCATGTAACCACGTTCGATGATTTGTGGCCGCCTAAGACTAAATCGTAACACTTTGCACAATAAGAGTAGCACCTCTATTTGATTCTACAGGCTCTACTTTCAAACTATAATCATCCAGCTCTCTCAAAACAATCTGGAGCCTAAAAGATGGTGAAGCTTTAGATCTGTCTTAAAACCGCACACAAAATACCTGACGCCTGAGATGCAAATATACCATGTTTTTCATAGGCCACACTTGAACATTTCTTCCTGTGGAAGAGCTTCCCAGGTTTTGCCCTCCTCCACATAATCTGTTCTAAAGTTTCGAGTTAGAGATTCTCTCTACAGTTACCCATAATAAGATCATGACATTATCTAATTACATTCTGTTCCAGCCTTTTACTTAAAAGTCAAAAAGAAAATATTTCACCAACAGATTAATATTTATGAATGAATTCTTAATCCATGGGACTCTCAGGCGACCAACAAACACCTCTAGGACATTACATCTATACTCCACGACTCGGACTCTGCCAAACCTCGATAAACTGTTGATCCTTCCGGGTCACAAACATTCTGTTCCCTCCAAACGCCAATCCAGTTATCTTGTTTTCTCCTGAATCCGCCGCGAACGAATTCTTCCTAAAAACCCTCTCTTCCAACACATCCCGGCTCGCATTCCCAACCAAACCCGTAATCACTTCAGACCAAAGCTCAATCCCATTCCCTTTACTACAAAACACATGATTCCCATAACTCTCTATCCTACACCCAACTCCTTTCCTCTCATCCAAGCTTCTCTTCTTCTCTTCTCCAAGACAAACCCAACCCTTACCTCCTAAACTCCTCAAATCCGTGTAGTAAACCTCCCCTGACGCCACACCAACCTTAAAAACCGCGGAGAGATTCTCCGAGACAGTAACATCAGAGAAACAATCTCCCCTCTCCTTAATCTCCCAAACCATATCCCTCGACCTAACATCCCAAAACCGCACGTGACCACTCACACCTGAAGGACTAGCATGTGAGCCAGAGACCATCAACAAGTTACAGCTCCGAATCCATCTCAACTTATTCGACGGGATCACGGAATCACCACCACCAACACCGTAGTTATCGCAACGGTCCATCTCAAACAGAGGTAACAAGGTGGAAAGATCGTACACCATAACCGAATTCGAGTTCCTTCTGCTAGATTCAAAGCTAGCGAACAGAAACTCAGAGGAAGAACCTACGGCTTGAACCGTCGAGGTAGTAGTAGTAGCTACGTTCTCCCAATTCAGAGTCGTCCGTACGAATCCGCCGTTGTCAAGATCGATTATCTGCAAACCGGGAAAATCGGTGGCTCCGGCTGCTAAAACTCCCGGAGATATCTCTAGAAGCGAATCCACGGCGGAGAAGTTAGTCAGCACCGTCGATTTCCGGCGTAACGACCAGTCGAACGAGGTGATTTTGCTTCCGTGCGCCACGTGGAGGCCTCCTCCGCCGTTACTCGTCGGTGCGATCGTAGAGGGAGAGTCTCGGCCGTTTAACGGGAGGATAACGGATTTACGGAGATCGAAGGCCTCGAACTGGGATGGATTGGAGAGGGAATCGATGAGGAAGGGCTCGATTCCGTAGTATCTAGACTCTTCGATCAGATCTCGAATGTCGAAGGAGGTTGATCTCGCGGGGAGGTTTCCGGTGCGGAGGATGTAGAGAAGGACGGAGAATAAACCGGGATCTCGATCGACGAAACGAGTAGACTCAGTGGCGAGTTGGGAGAGGAGAGAATCGGTTCCGGCTAAGGTTAGGGTTTGTTTCGTCGTCTGGAAGATTCGGCCTCCGACGTTGATGGAGACAACGTTCGATTCGGGAGCGCTGGCCGGTAAATTCATCGGAGCAAATCACAAAACCTTCTGTTGCACAGAGAGAGAGAGAGGAGTTTTTGAAGTTGAAGGTCAACGGTCAAGATAAGACTATCGAATCAATAACCGGTATAAACCGGTTTGACACGTTTAACAATTCGGTATAATAATGTACACAGCGTCCGGAACCGGTAATTCTTCGGAAGGTAAACGGTTAAGATAAAAGATTATCGAACCAATCGGTCTAAACCGGAATGACACGTTTATTAGAAATTGGAAAGATTTAACAATAGGATGCGGTCTTAATAATGTACACAAACGTCCAGAACCGGTGCATTTAAACAGGCGAACAAACACAAAGGGAGAAACAGCAGACAGATTTCACAGTTTCGGCAACTTATAAGCATAGATATAAATGCATGACCGATCCATATACATAAAAACCAAGTCGTCTACCGAATCCCGGTTTAAGGATCTGGGTTGCCTGCAATTGCAACATCATCATCATCTTCATTGTCATCAGAACCATATTCCTCATCACTTATTTCTTCATCACTAGACTTATCTTCTGAACCTTCCCCTGGTTTTGCATACTTCTCACAGTATTCTGAAACCAAACATCACACAATCAAAATGACCTTTAAAACTTCCTTGACCTATGGTTAAATCGGTACAATCATATTGCCATTCACCTCTTGGTTCTAAACTTTAATATGATCAGAAACGTTACTAACAAGCAAATCAAAGACGGTTTATATAGTGTTTGATCAATCGTTTGAAGAACATTGCATAAGCTGCAAGACTTGACCAAATATTCAGTTCTCACATTCGCTAAGCAAAAGCTATAATCGATTAGAACAAAGAAACACAAATGATTCAGATCATCATTTAGCTTACAAATGGTAATCTCAAGAACGCACACACGTTAACAACAAGTTCAAGGTACTAATTAAAGAGAAACCTTCAAGAAACTTGACAGTTTTCTTTTCCTCAGCATTTCAACTTATCTTATAACACTAAGAAGAGTCTGACTGAATTTACCTTTAACACGTAGTTCATAAGTAGGACGATCACGCATCATCAAAGCAGCAGCTTCTCCATTCAATGGGTCTGATGGGTTTGGATACAAAAGAAGCTGAGGAAGAAATGTCTCAAACACATTCACAAGGTCTGAACCAAAAACCAACAAATCCAAAACATAAGAGTTAAAACCAAATTTTCAAAACCACTGGAATTGGATCTTTTAATGTTGGCACTTACCAAACATAGGACTCCAAGTCTGGTTGATCACATCTAAACAAACAGATCCAGACCTGCATAACAAAAGAGAGACCAAAGATGTAAGAGAATCTCAAGATGAGTCAGTGTCCAGTAATAATAGAAAAGAATGAAACTGACAATTCATCAACGTTTGGGTGATAAATCTTGGTGATGAAACCAACAGAAGGAGATTTGTAAGGATAAGCATCTGGAAGCTCAACTCTTATCTTCCACACTCCTCCTTCATACAGACCTATCAGATCAGAACAACAAAAAGAGATATAAATGTTTGGTAAAACTTATCAAAACCACACACAGATCAGAACAACAAGAAAGGATAATACAGCTTTGGCAAAATAACAGAAATCATGGATGATTTGCAAAGCCCTATCATCAATCATAAGCACCAACCAGTCTTTGATTTAAGATATGAATAAAAAAAGAATGAAATCATACTGTCTTTGGGGCCATTGAATTCAACAAAGAACTCTTGCATGCCATCGTTGATCGTCTCCACTTTATAATCGCTCATCATCCTTTGAAACAAAGATCGAATCATTCAACCAAATTAAAATTATTTTTTTTTAGAAACCCACAATCAAAATCATCCAAAAAAGGGAAAGGGTATAAAGAATTACAGCTTCATCATATCCATTTCTCTGCGTTTGCTAGGGGAAGACATCTCTCTTCTTTCTCTTCTTCTGGGTGTGTCTTTGTTCTTCCCGGATTCGAGTGAAGATGATGAAAATAATGTGTGAGAGAAAACTGAAAAGGGATGGATTTTTTTTTATTTCTTTAAGAAATATTTTTTTCTCACGGACGCCTATGATGGAGTGAAGCGAAGACCGTATCCTTTATATAGATAGAGATCAGTACAACTTGTTCTGTCGGTAAAATGTTGTAATTCAGTTTTAGTAATACTAACAATTTTTTGCTTTTCAAATTTACGTTCTCCCAAAGTAACTATTAAAGTTGATGCAATATTTTCTTTAATGTTTCAGCTCCATTTAATTAAAACTTTTCATATTCACCAAATAGTATACTTCACAGATTCTCATAAATTATTCATACTATAAATAACAAAGAAAATCGACATAATTTAGCAAGATTATATAACTTATTTAAGTGGTGACACACAATCGGTCCAAAGTTAAGACGTCCTTTCGGATAAGTACGTGTACGAGAACTATGCTGGCTACTGTCAGATCTTATTTCAATAATTTAACCACATCGAGTAGTTTTATTGACTTTCTGTAACATTTAAGCAAATCTAGCACATTAAACAAGTCGAGACAGTTATATACACGTACATGTTTTTGGGAATGTAGATAAGATAAGATTTTTAAAAACATACACACAAAATATTTTATCACATTACAAAACGGTAAAAACCTAAGTAAATAAAAACTAAACTAAACCCTAACCGCAGTATCCCAATTCCAGTTTGATTACTATTTTTCTAAAACCCAAGAAAAGAAACAGAATCAAACCCAAGTTGTAACCACAGCTTAAAACACTCCTAAGAAACCTATTAAAAATAGAACATATACAAGAGACAAGAGCTTCGTTTTTTTTGGTTTATTCACATAAGCGAATCTTAAAGCATTAAACCCCCTAATATTATCTTTAATAGTCTTTGTAGACGACTTCAAACGTCTGTACAAGCATACATATATATAAACACTAATGTGTACTTTGCAACTTGTGAATCAAGAACGTTATTGTTTTGTATTTTCTTACCATCTTTCTTTTCTTTTATGTTTCTTCGTTTTGTTTTTTTTTTGGGATTCAGAGCCGAAACGAGTCTTATAAGCTGTTGTACTTGCAGGTTGCTAGTCGAGGGGAGAGTCAAACACCATTTCCTGCCAAAACAAACGGGTCCACACTAAGACACAGCCGGGGAAGCAAAACGAAAATGTCGGGGGCAGACACAGCACCAAAGACATACCTTGTTGCAGACAGGGCAAGTTTCACTTCTCTCCATCCATTCTAGAATGCATGCCAGGTGAAAATGGTGCTCACATTTTGCCAGAAGTTTCGGGTTATCCATATCATATTCTGAAACAATAACAGAGACAGATATATATAAACCATTCACATTCATACAAAGTGATGTTTATGTCTTTGAGATAAAGCAAAAAGACGTTACCTTCCAAACATATGGGACAATCCTCCTCTTCCTCCATTGGTACAAAGACGTCTTTTGATAGCTTCTTCGGGTCTATATCTTCAGTAGATTCAAGATCGATCTCTGTTTGGACTTTGCTATCTGTTTCTTTACACGGGCATGTAGTTGGAACCCCGAGAGTGATACCATCCACTATTTCTTGAGCAGACTCAGTATTAGCGGTTTCAGCCGAAACCTCTCTTATATCAACGCAAGCAGTCTCTTCACCGTTTCCTGGAGTCTGAGGTACACCTATAGGCACATCGAAAGGAATAGGGAGTGGTGGGGGTATATAAGCATCAGGAGATGAAGTCTCTAAGTTTGTGTCAACTACAACAACACCAGAGGAGATTGTAGAGGAAGTCCTGTTAATAGCGGAAGATAAAGGAACACGCTCTTCTGTTGCTCTCGGATACTGCAGAGATCACAAGACATAAACCTGTTATTTAACATTAAAAGACTGGAATAAGGGAAGGTAGAAAGGAGAAGCATGAGACTAACGTAATAGTAGGGAGGTCCATTATCAAGATCAGCTCTTCTTGAAGAAGAACAACAACAGCAGCCTCCCATTATGTTTTTTTTTTTGTGTGTTTTGTTTATCACAATTCCAAAAACCGAAGACTCTTCATCTACGTTAACCTACAAGGAGTGTAAAAAGACAGGATTCTGATTAATTGAATCATTTATCATCCGCCAGAAACTGATAAAAAGAGCTTTGTTGTTTTTAATAACAGTTTCCGCTGTCTACACAGGTTTACAATGCTAGCAAGCATTTACACAATCAAACAACAACACACAACTACAAGAGTCCAAAATTACAAACAATAATCCAATTACAAGAACATGGAGACAGTGATGTGGAGATTAAGCCTAATGTGCATCTACTGAATCAGGAGAAGGCCAATTTTGAAATATATTTAGCAGCATCATCAACACACAAAGTAGACTGAGTTTTATACTAAACCCCAAAGCCCACTAGAAACTCAGCTCACACAAGAAAGAAAAGAACCAACGAAGAGCGTCTTTGAGAGGAAGCTACGACGGTTCACAACCCCCAAGCTCCGTAAAACCCTAAAACCGAAAAACCTTATAAAAAATCATCAATCAACCCCAGAATTTCAGAACCTAGCAAAACCAAAACCGGATCTAAACATTCAAACACACACCCGAAATCAACTTCTAAGAGGAGAGACAGAGAGAGATTCAACAACGAGTGATTAATCAGTAGCAAGCAAGCGAGATCAAAGAGAACATAGAGGAGGAACCGATCACCTTTCTCGAGATTGAATCAGGAAGAGGAAAGTTCAAAATCTCAAAATCAAAGAGAGAGAGTTTTTACTTTTTTCTCTCTCGGGTCGGGAGAAATCTTTTTCGTCCCCTCTCTGCTTTTGCGCTGCTGTGTTGTTTATCGTGCGCTCTATCAAACTGACTTTTCCTACACAAAAATACAACACTCACCTCTTATTAAAATATACTCCTATATATTTATATTTAATTAATTAATTCCCCTACTTAATAAACTGATACTTTTTCTTTTTATTTACACACTCATCAAATTAGAATGGGTCTGGGGCAGTCGCACTGAACGTTTTCTATACCAAACCGGCTATGAACCTTTCCTCAACTGTTACTTCTTTGTCAATTTGGCTTCTTTGTTTAACACCTAGTAGTTAGGACTTAGGATGTATATTGTATCTATTATTGTATGCAGATAGGATGTGATCTCAAATTTGCATTATATATATATATATATATATATATATATATATATATATTTTTTTTATGTATAAAGAGTTTAAACAATGAAGAAGCATATAAACTACTTTGGAGGTTACCAATCTAATGTCTCCATTTTTTAATGAAAAGGTTAGAGGTATCGTCCTAAACATCTTTCATCAGATTACTATCATATGCACAATTCAAGACCTACATATGTTGGTCACAAATTAAGCGTGTCTCTTAGGTTGGATGAAAATTCAATTAAATGTAGGTATATATATACTTATAAACATTATTATCGGTTCATCTGTTTTTTACAATTGTATCAGTATATGCATCTGACTCAAGTTATAACCTACAACATATAAAAAAAGATGGACTTGTCAAATCAGCTACTGGAATCCCATCCTGAATAAAACTATGATGAAGATGAGAACGCTCATAAAAATGATGCTTGGATTGCAGTTGAAAGTAGGAAGACATCATAACCTACATCCAAAGGTGAGGATGACTCAGATGTGGCAATGGTAAAAATCTGTGTGGACTGATAGATGATGAGGAAAAGTAAGCAAAGGCTTTGTCTGCAATTTTCAAGTGAGTGATTAATGAAAACCAGTTATATTCCATGTTGAGAAGAGAATCAGCCAAGGAGGAACTGAAGAATGCTTGTAAAGAAACCTCAAATGTGAATAGATCCAAACTCAATAATGCTTATTTATAACAAGGTTTGAGACGAAATATAGTCAAGGTCAAAACATAGTCGAACAACAAAGTATTCATTTATGTACCTTCTGGCCATTGTATAGTATCAATTCTTTCACACTGTTTCAAATTAGTAGTGTATGTAGATGATGTTAGAAATGGTAGGTGGCCCAATATGGTAATACAAAGGCCCATAATAAAGCCCATATTTGATCCGTTATCTAAACCTCTGTTTTATAAATTCGGAGAGCTTGTTCTATAAACCGTCTCCCTCATTTCGAACAGAACCCGACCCCGAATCCGAATCCAAATCGGAATCTTCTCCGTCGTTCTGGCTCGAATCGACGTATAACTTACAACGGAATTCCACGCCGCCGTGAATCGATTCAACTAAGATGGGAAACGGTAATCATCTGATTCTTTTTGGTGGTTTCTCTGAATTAACCGCCAGAAAATAAATATGGCAACACTTTTGTTTTAATCGTTTAGGTGAAAGAGGAAAATCCAGCAAGAGGACGAGGTACGGTGGAAAGGTTCGTGCTTCCCTCCCTTGGAATCAATTTTAATAGCCTCTTTTCTTTCTCAATGTTAATTCATCCACTGAATTGGCAGGATGATCCAAAGATGAAGAACATCCAAAATGAAGAATACTACCTCGGTGATGATCCTGATGAAGATTCTCGTGATGGTAAAACTTCACTTCTTCGTTCTATGCTTCTGGAACAGATTATGAATGGTTTCGTTTCGTAGGGGAAGGAGAGAAGATGAATACTGATTTTAGCAAATTGGAGTTGAAGCCAGATCATGCCAACAGACCCTTGTGGGCTTGTGCTGACGGAAGGATCTTCCTGGAAACTTTCTCTCCTCTCTACAAGCAGGCTTATGACTTCCTTATCGCCATTGCTGAGCCTGTTTGCAGGTCCTCACTCACTGCTCCTTTATGGTTTTTGTTATGCATGATTCAATGTTTTTGGGTTGATCTTTGTTTTGTTTTTTCCAGGCCAGAGTCGATGCACGAATATAATTTAACGCCTCACTCTCTGTATGCTGCTGTTTCCGTTGGTCTGGAGACGGAAACGATCATATCCGTTTTGAATAAGCTGTCTAAGACTAAGCTGCCCAAGGATATGATTGATTTCATCAATGCTTCTACTGCTAATTATGGGAAAGTGAAGCTGGTTTTGAAAAAGAATCGCTATTTTATCGAGTCCCCTTTCCCTGAGGTAAGCTCACTAGACTTGCCCTCTTTTCTCTGGTCTTGTGTATTTGGATGTTGGTTTCGTTTCTCTTTTGCTAATTCTTTTCTCTAAAAAACATTGGTCTCAGGTGCTGAAAAAGCTTGGCAATGATGTTGTTATAAGCAAAGCAAGATTTTATTCTGACGTACGTTGAACTCTTCCATTTAGTGTATCTTTTGTCACCAATGCCGGATTATCTCAAGTTCTTGGTTTCGTGTTTTTATTCTTTAAGTTCTTTGGAACTCTGTTTGCAGTTGTTACACAGACTACCCCTTGATTCACTGAATGTTGGATTCTTATACCACTGTGTTCTCCACTGTATGCCGAACTAACTTTAATTAACTCTTTTTGCTAGCCATACGGCGGTGATGGATTCACAGTTGGCAAAACAAGTGGTGAACTTGAAGCAGGACCTGGGGAGCTGTTGAATGCGGCAGAGTTGGCAGCAGCTGCAGAAGAGAAAGAAACTCACTCATTTGAGATAGACCCTGCACTGGTAAACTTTCCCAATGGGTACCTGAAATAGCGTCTTCATGAGTTTTGTAATGTTAGGTGATCTTTACTTAACTGGCATTGTTTATGTTCTTTTACACTTCATGTGTTAGGTGGAGACTGTAAAGCAGCGTTGCTTGCCAAGTGAATTGAATTACCCTATGTTAGAGGAATATGACTTCAGGAACGACAACGTGAGTTTAAAAAATACACTTCACACCTATTTTGTTTGACGTATGATATGTACTACATGTTCGTGATTCTCGAATAACTACGATGGTGTCTATCAGGTTAATCCTGATCTTGACATGGAACTGAAGCCCCATGCTCAGCCGAGGCCGTACCAGGAAAAAAGTTTGAGCAAAATGTTTGGGAACGGTATACTGTCTTCGTCTCTTTTGTTTTTATACCGCATTTGCTTAACTTGATGGGATATTTATATTTGTATGTTCCTTTGGGCTGTCATAGGTTGACTGATCTAGCATCACGGTGAACTCCTAATAAATCTATGTGATTTCTTGTGAGAGAATGTGACTGATCTGAATCTTAATTTTGCAGGACGAGCAAGATCTGGGATTATAGTGTTGCCTTGTGGTGCTGGTAAATCTTTAGTTGGTGTTTCTGCAGCAGCTCGTATTAAAAAGAGTTGTCTTTGTTTGGCTACGAATGCTGTCTCGGTGGATCAGTGGGCCTTCCAGTTCAAGCTGTGGTCTACTATAAGAGATGACCAGATATGCCGTTTCACTTCTGATAGTAAAGAACGGTTCCGTGGAAATGCTGGTGTTGTTGTTACAACTTATAATATGGTTGCCTTTGGTGGTAAACGTTCTGAGGAATCAGAGAAGATCATAGAAGAAATGAGGAACAGAGAGTGGGGGTTATTGCTCATGGACGAGGTAATCAACCAAATCAAGTAGTTTTCAGTATGATTTATGCATTTGTGGAAAAGTTATATGATTCACTGAGATGGTGTTTCCAGTGTTTAGCCAGGAATTCATTTAGGAGTTGTGTTTTTTTTTTTTAATATAGGTGCATGTGGTTCCGGCCCAAATGTTTAGGAAAGTCATCAGTATCACAAAATCTCACTGCAAGCTAGGACTTACAGCCACCCTTGTGAGAGAAGACGAAAAGATTACAGATTTGAACTTCCTCATTGGTCCGAAACTGTATGAAGCCAATTGGCTAGATTTAGTAAAAGGAGGCTTTATTGCAAATGTTCAGTGTGCTGAAGTATGGTGTCCTATGACCAAAGAGTTTTTCGCAGAATATCTGAAGAAAGAGAACTCCAAGAAAAAACAGGTTCATGAATATAAGCTTTTCAAATATTGTTCTCTATTTTATTGTTGGATATTGGATCTCTTATGTTTGGTCAATCTGATGCAGTAGGATCCATGGATTTTATGTAGTCGGGATGATTAAAGTATAGTAAACATTCATATGATAGGGTCGTTGAGTGTGTCTGTCTCATAATTTGGCAAATGATCTTATATGATCAGTACCTGGGAATTATCTATGGAATATGAGCCACTTCAGTTGGTCTGACATGTGCATCTTGTCTTCTGGTATCTGCAGGCACTTTATGTCATGAACCCCAACAAGTTCAGAGCCTGTGAGTTTCTTATACGTTTCCATGAACAACAACGTGGAGACAAAATCATTGTCTTCGCAGACAATCTTTTTGCACTTACAGAGTATGCAATGAAACTCCGAAAACCGATGATTTATGGTGCAACCAGGTTCGTTAAAGAACTTGTATTGAAAACACACTTTTGCGTGATTCATCAATTACTAAGCGCTGATAGTTCCTCCTTTTGTTTTAATTTGTAGCCATATCGAACGAACCAAAATTCTAGAGGCGTTTAAAACCAGTAAAGACGTGAACACCGTCTTCTTGTCAAAAGTATAGTAGCATTTATACTTTTGCCTTAACTTGGAATTATAGATATCTGTTTATTCCATGTTCACGGAGGAAGGTAAAATTAATGGATTGGTTTCTTTTTTGACTTCAGGTTGGTGATAACTCCATAGATATTCCTGAAGCTAATGTTATCATCCAGATTTCGTCACATGCTGGTTCTAGACGTCAAGAGGCTCAGCGTCTGGGTCGTATTCTTAGGGCCAAGGTTTGATTTCTGATATTCTTTTGCTCATCACGTTGTCTCTTCTAGTTCCTTCTTGGTTAGTTGAATCCAAGATAAATAGTTTCTAATTTTGAAATCAGGGTAAAATCGAAGATAGAATGGCTGGTGGAAAAGAAGAGTACAATGCATTCTTCTACTCTCTTGTTTCTACAGATACGCAGGTATAAGGACAGACAAAAGTTACTCCTGTAGTTTGAGTTTTTATGATCTCGTAAATTCTAAATCCATGAAAAAATTGCAGGAAATGTATTATTCAACGAAAAGACAGCAGTTCTTGATAGACCAAGGTTACAGCTTCAAAGTTATAACGAGTCTTCCACCTGCTGATGCTGGTTCGAGCTTAAGCTACCACAGTCAAGAAGAACAGTTATCTCTTCTCGCCAAGGTTTGTTACCTCTCACATTCCACATTTGAAGCATCACTATAATAAGTTACGTTGTTAGTTGTTATTCTTGAACAACTTTAAAGTCTTTTTATGATCCACACCAGTGTTTTTAAACCGGACCGTCAACCTAACCGGTAAAGCTTTTGGCTCATAGGTCAATCTGGTTTAAATCTTGTTCATATTAACTAGGTGTTTTGCCCGCTCATGCGGGCATAGTCATGTTGCAAATATATATATTACACTTACTATTAAAATGTGTAAAATTACATTGAAAATAAAATTATTAGAATTTACAAAATTTAATTTTTGTTATTCATTTACTTATTTCTTATTTATTTTTATATTTAAAACACGGTTTTAGGATAACAACCAAGTATATGTAAGAATTATCTTTTTAAAAAGAATATATAATTTTGATAATTTTATTTATTAATTTATAGTTATCCAATATAACATATAATATAAAGTTATATTATTAATTGATAATTCGTTTTTAATTTAAATTATTTAATAATAGTATATATAAATGTTCATTAAGGATAATATTGATATTAACCACTCTAACCTTTAACGTGAGAGCTCTATTACGAAAAATCACTTCGCAAATAATTGTATAGATTATAAAATAAAAGTTAAAACTAAATCTACTTCTATTTATTTATCTTACTACAATTTTTACAACCTTTTTGAAACAAAAATTTAAATACAAACCAAGAAAACAAATATAAATTAATCAATATTTTGACTCTAATTATATATGACTGAATTACGAAAATTCAGAAGAAAATCAAAATTTTTTTTTTTGAACAACTAAAATCAAATATTATAAGAAAGGTTAAATTTTTTATTTGTGAGTGTACATTTTCTTAAATTGTATTATATTCTATTACATAAAAAATAGCTAATAGAATTGATTTTTGGTTTGGTTTTTATTCACTCAGCTAAGATATGTTCTTAGTTCATACTTTAAATTGGTTCGACTGGCCGTCCGGAATTAAAAGATTGATCCACGCAGGTGTTGAATGCTGGAGACGACTTGGTTGGTTTAGAGCAACTGGAAGAAGACACAGACGGAATGGCCTTGCAAGCGGCAAGACGGAGGAAGGGACTGATGAGTGAAATGTCGGGTGCAAAAGGATTCGTGTACCAGGAATTCAACTCTGGCCGTCACAAATCTTCTGGTCAACAATCCAGGAAGCCTAAAGACCCTACAAAACGACACCAACTCTTCAAGAAACGTTTCGTGTAACACACACACACACACACAAGGTAAACCAAAAAAGGTTTCAGAGCTCTCTTGTTCGCTGGCGTTTGGTTTGTTTTTGAGTTGTAATATGCAATTGTAACTTTGGGGAGAATTTCTCTTCAGAACTTACTCGGTACTTAATAATACTATATGCAATGAATTTCTCTCCAACAAGCATTTTCATTTTAAATAGGGTTCACTTTTAAAATAAAGAGATGGAAGGGTAGTTTTCCAATAGTGGTCTTCAAATTTTTTTTTTTTAATTTATATTTCACACTTTAGTGTTCAATTTCATTAATAGTTAATTATAATCATTAAATTTAATAAATAAACAATAAGCACATATTAATATATAATATTGACATAATTGCTAAATATATTTAATTATAACATCGAATTACTTATAATAAACGATAAAAACATAAAATTATATATAATAATAAAACACAAACAATTCAAATTACAATATATATATATAATACAAAACTAATCAGTACGATTATTTTCGTAGTGCTTCCATATATGTTCAATCAAAACATTTTAAGTGATAAATGAGCTTCCTTGTTTTTCATTCGAAGATTACGTGCTAAAAATTGTTGAAAATACATATTTTCGTTTATATTTCCGTTTATGGCCATCTCAACGTTTATTGGCGGTGCCGGTCTTGCATCTCGAATCGGTGCGTCGATATCTCGTTCATCTTCAATTATCATGTTATGCATTATGCATTATAATACATGAAGTCATTATATCATGTAATACCTCTTTTTTCAATAACGCGAGGATCCTGCGAGGATCCTGCGACGATAACAAATTTGGTTTGTAAAACTCCAAAATCTCTTTCAACATCTATTCGATATGATTCTTGTCTTGCTACAAACAATTTTTTTTTTGGACCTTGGGGATCGCTTATTATTTGAACAATTGTTGACCATTTAGGATATATATACCGCTAGCTAAAATAATAACCCATGTTATGTTCTTGGCCTTGAATTGTGTGATTAGCTAGAGAAACGGTACTTTGAGCAAGCTTGGAAAATAAATTGGAAGAGTTCAAAACATTAATATTGTTGTTGCTTCCTGGCATTCCGAAAAAGACATGTCATATCCACAGATCATAATTCTCAACCGCTTCGAGAATGATCCTAGGTGACCCGCTATGGCTGCAAATTATCTTACCCATGCTGTTGGACAGTTTTCCACTTCCAATGCATACTAATCAAGTCTGCCTAATATTCCAGAAAACCCTCATTGTTGGTCAATATTGAGAAGTCTGGAAACGTCTTATGGTGTTGGTGACCAGAGATACCACTCTGAAAAGACAGATACAATTGCACGACAAAATCTTTTCATGCATTCAATTGCCGTACACTCTCATATTTTAATATATTCATTGGTCGCATCAGCAGGCGTGCCATATGCCAAGATCCGAAGAGCATCTATGACTTTTTGTAAAGCTGATAATCAAAGTCTACCAGATGCATCACGTCATTGGTTGAAGTAGTTGTCATGTTGCTTGACGGCATCAACAAGGTGAAGAAATAACTTTCGTGACATTCTAAATCGACGATGAAACTCTCTTTCACCATACACATGATTATCAGAAAAATAATCATTGTACAAGTTACGATGAGCATTTTGTCTACCAAGAAATCTTGCTAAAAAAATTAAACTCCATCTATGATATTACCAATTTATCCGACCTGGACAAGCAAGAATCATAAAAAAAGAACTCAACAACAACAAACCGAAGAGAGTGCTCCAAATTTATATCAAGAATATTTTGGTGATCTTGGAAGTTCAAGACCAAAGTTACCTGAATATTAGTATTGTAATATATATTTTAATGTGTAATATTTCAACTTATGTATTTATCTAAATATTAGTATTGTTATATATATATTCTAATCTGTAATATTTCAGCTTGTGTAACTTTTATTCTGATGTAAAGTATTATGATTTATTATGCTTTTATAGTAGCGTAAATTTTTTACAAAGTATTGTATCAAATAATATGTTTCTATTCTATTTTTATTAATAATATTATATATTGCTACATAATATTTATTAATATACTATTGCTATTTAAAAATAATTTTACAAGATCATAATTATAATAATTAAGTGGCAATATAATTAACTAGTAAAATGCTATACAATAATTACACAATCCCTAAACATATATAAATAGAAGGAATAAAGTGAAAAGTAAAACAATGTTTTAAAGGTATGAACAGTGCACCATAAAATTTGAAGATATACTATTCACCCCTTTAAAATTTGAAAGGATAAATGTCTATTGGAATGTAAAACTTTTCAAAGGGATAAAGGATGTTGGAAATGCTCTTAATAATACTATAATAGTGGATCTTTTTTGTCGGCAATTGTTTTCATTCTTTTTTAAAGGAAGAAGTGTTACTCACAATGAAAATGTGAAGTGATTTTAATGTGTTATCACTATATTCAATTTTACTAAAAAGATAATGACATGTCATATTAGAAAACTGATATGGTTTAAACCAAAATGTGATAAAGATAATAACATTTAATGCTTATTTTTATTTTTGATAATTTGTTTTTTTAAATATGATAATATTTTCATTAAAAAAATATTTTAAAATATGGTAATAACTTATATATTATCATTAACATAAATGTATTTAAATATAAAATTAAATAATATATTTGGAAATTTCTAATATTTTTATAATAATATAAATTTTTATTGCTAAACAAGATTTTCGAAATTTATACCATTTTTATAAATTAATAATTTTAATTAATACCATTTATTTCTTTTTGATGTCTACAAATTTTAGAAATTCAGTTTAGTTTTATTTTTTTGTAATTATACAATTTCATATCATTTTAACTTTGCACAAATTGATTTAATTTATTTTAATCAAAAGAAATAAATGAAAATCCATCCAAGATTAGAATTTTAAGTATAATTTAAATTAATTATTTTTATATTATTTTAATTTTATATTTAATTAAATCAAAATGTATATTAAATATAGTGATATAAAAAATAAAAATAAAAAAATATTAAGGAAATCTTTTTTTCTGAATATAATTCAAATTAAAAAATTTATCCTACACATTGTGGAGGTATAGGAATACACCTAATTAAAGAAAAATATATTATCTTAAAACTTGGACATCTTTAGTATTTTTAGCAGAGAAGCTAAAATCCACCCAGTAAATAAAAAAATGCATCTCAAATTTTTTTTATAAATTATTTTTATTTCAAAGTTAACACATCATATTCAGAGTTCCAAACTAGCTTAAACTATGGTAAAACAAAAAGAGAACAAAAAAATCATAGGAAATACTCCATCTTGATCAGCTCCTCTATTTCACCAAAGTAAAATTAAAAAACAGCAAACTCTTAGAACATAGCTCAAAATATATTGGGGCCATCATGTGCATGCTCAACTTTTTGAGAATTTATGTATATAAATTTTGAAAATTAGGCCCTTTTTCACTAATAAATCCAAACTTTAAGACCTGGAATACGGTACTAACACAAAAAGTCGGGTCTGCATAGCCTGAACATGAATCACAAAAAAATCGCTGTTATTTTGGGTGTTCTCATTTAATGTGCAAAAATGTTTGTGTGGATAGGCCAATTTAAAGTATTTGAACTGAAGGGGCGGATGCAGGTGTTCGTTGAGTATATTTATGTGGAACAGATGCGACTTTGCCAAAGTTAAATTATAGGTATCCGTTAATTCACAAATTTTATTATGAAAATATTCATTTATATAAAATAACAAAAATATAAAAATTATAAATATATACTTTATATTATTTTGAATAAAAATAACTATATAAATTAATTATTTTATTAATAGTATTATTCACGGATCAAAATTTTAAATTAAAAAATAATTTCATTTGTAGTGGAACAAGTTTCACTTGCTTCCCAGCACTAGACAACATCGTAAATTGTAGTGGTGATATGTGAAAATTTTTTTAAAAAAACTGCATAATTTGCAAGACTCCACACTTTCGACTCACAAGTCACAATGACGCATATCAAACACTAACCCTTAGATCAAAATCAAGCTCTCAAGCAAGAACTTGATTAATAAAGCTCTAAAATCCACTAGAAAAGATAAAGTTTGAAAACTTCTATTAAATAAGAAAATTAGATTGTGTCCAAAATAGAATTCCTAAAACCCTCTTATATAGAGAGAGCCTAAAACATAAAAAAGAAAACACTAAATAAAAGGATAACTTCTAGATAACAATAGATTAGGAAAATTTCTAAATAATAATAGATTAGGAAAACTTCTAGATATCCATGAGTCTAAGATTCTCCTACATCAGTCTTCTCCACCTCCAAAGAACTCGACCCCGAGTTCTCTTCTGGATAAAGAACACCATCGGCATGGTACTCTAGATGTCAGCCACATTGAATATGTTAGAAATGTTTATTTCTTCTGGAAGTGCCACCACATAAGCATTATCATTTATCTTCTGTAAAATCTTGAACATACCATATTTGCGAGGCTGTAGATTGCGATATGTGCCAACTAGGAATCTTTCTTTTCGTAGATACACCACCACTTCATCTCCTTCTTTGAAAACCTTGAGTCTTCTACGCTTGTCTGCTGCTTCTTTGTCGTCATGTGTCATAACCAGGAAGCTTGACTTCTTTTTCTTCGCATTGTTACGAAAATCCCTAATAGGTGCCATGGCAATTTTAAGGTTACCCCATGTAAACATTATCACATTGTATCGACCTCGATATGTGATATCGTTATCATACTGCCAAGGTCGTCCAAGAATAATGTGACAAACGTCCATGTCAAAAACGCCACAAGTGATCTCCTCCTTGTAGTGTTTACCTATAGATATGAGAAATTTGCAAGTTATGCTAACTCAAACTTGTGATCCTCTCTTTACCCAACCAAGGCCATACGGTTTCTCATGACGGGTCATAGGTAACTTAAGATACTTCACCAGCTTTTGAGAAATTAAATTCTCCGAGCTTCCATTATCCACAATCACATTACACACCTTGTTTTGAATAGAACATTGTGTTCTATAAAAATTCTTACGTTGACCTTCTTCTTTAGATGAAAACAAGACTCGTAGTAGCACAAGGTTTATCATCTCTCCAGATTCTTCTTCAGCGAATTTGACTCCCTCATATTCTACATTCCCAATGAAATCCCCTTCATCCTCTTCACCATCTTCTTCTATTATAGCGA